GGAAGAGCAGTCAATGCTCTTAACCTCTGAGCCATCGCTCCAGCCCCCATAAAATTATTTTCATTGCTACTTCATAACTGTAATTTTGCTACTGTTATGAATCATAATGTAAATATTTTTGGAGACAGAAGTTTGTCTAAGGAGTCTAACTCACAGGTTGAGAATCAATTATCCGTCAACAATTGTTTTTTTGTTTATTTTTTTGAGACAGAGTTTCTCTGTGTAGCCCTGGGTGTTCTGGAACTCACTTTGTGGATCAGACTGGCCTTGAACTCACTGAGATCCACTGTCTCTGCCTCCCGAGGGCTGGGATTAAAGACGTGCACTATCACCCCGACTGTCTCCCCACTTTTCATCCTTAGAATACCATGTGCTTGACTACTGTAGTCTTTTTTCAGTATGCGCCTTCAGAATTATGAGTTTTGTTATGATGTCTTCACACACACATATCACATTTTTCACTCATACTCAACCCCCTTCATTAACTGTATAGTTTAATTTTTTCAGTTTCTGAGTAAGGATTTTGTACTTGAGAATGTGTGCATGCCACAGCTGAGCCCTCTTACTGGCCCAGCTGTAAAGCTTATGAGTAATGTGAAAATGCCCTCAACTATAGTAGAAGTCCATCAAGATTTTGTTTGGTGTCCGTCCTCCTATTCCCTCAGGCCGATTTCCCCTCTTAATTACTCATGCCTTCACTGGGAAGTCATTCAGCCTATTGGGCAGCACTAATTTCAAGCTTTTCTTTGCAGAGATGCTGAGGATGCAATTTATGGAAGAAACGGTTATGATTATGGCCAGTGTCGACTTCGTGTGGAATTCCCCAGGACTTACGGAGGTCGGGGTGGGTGGCCCCGTGGTGCAAGGAATGGGCCTCCTACAAGACGATCTGACTTCCGAGTTCTGGTGTCAGGTATGTTCTCACCACACTGAATGAGATGGTGCGTGTGTGCTACCTCAGAGTCTGGCCGCTAAGGAACACCAGCTGTCAGTATGTGGTATATGTCGGCTTTTTAGTAGCCAGTGCACAGGGACAGTCTAAAGCTTTGCTCCAGGTTTTCAGGGAGGCAGGTACTGTACAAATGAAACTGTACAAGTAATATGGCCGTGTGGTACAGAAACTTGTTTCTGTTTTGTTTGTTCATTCACACAAGGTCCCTATGTAGTTTTGACTGTCCTGGAACTCACTATGTCGACCAGGCTAGCCTCCCAGAGACCCACCTGCCTCTGCCTCCCGAGCTGGGATTAAAGGGGTGTACCACCACTGCCTGATAAACATGTTTCTTATAAAGTGGTTTCTTATTGGTGAGAGGACGAGATGATATCAGAACCTTTGATCTAGAATTCTAAAAATGTTTTTCTTTGGGAATGTTCCTTGATATCTGGCTTTATAGACGTCACAGGGGCCAGATTCAAACAACTAGGAATCTTGGGGATTGTATTGGAAAGCATAGAGCATTTGTAACTGGTGTCAACGAATGATGGGTGAAATGTTAAGCTCAGAAGTTTATGTCTTTGAAATATCAATGCAGTGTTAAGACCCGGGGCCTTCTGCACATTACAGGGAGTTTGGGGGCCCTAGTGGAATGAAATGTATTGAGCCTGGCGCCTTTTAAAGTGTGAATGCCCCACGATCACAGTAGTGCGTGAGTGATGGTATCTGTCTATCTTGTATCCCTTTGTAATTTTTTAACCCTAGGACTCTATTCCCTCCTTCAAGATGTCATACATTATCTTTTTTTCTCTCCATGCTGCTCTGAAATCCTGCTTAGAAAACTATTAGGAAATGGCTGCAGTCCTGAGCTGTGAGCGGTAAACACAGCCTTTGAGAGCAGGAGCACATTTCCCTTTCATGACACCAGGTAGGGTTGTATGACTCCCAACTAGTCTTAGCGTCTGAGTGTGACTTTCCCCAACTGTAGTGAGGAATGTTGGTGATCTCTTGCGAGGTACTCTGTGCTCTGTCAACCGTTCACGCTAATGGAAAACAAACTTTGATTTTTGTTGTGCTGTTCTCTCAGCTACACTTGGTTTGTTTCAAAATTCCCAAGTCTCGGGAAAGTAAGTTCACAAGAAATACTTGGTACTAATAAATTTCATAATGAAAAAAACGGAACTCAGTTTTGGGAGTGCCACATTGATTGTGAAGGACAGAGTGGTAAATTCTCAGAGGTTGTAAGCCTGTGACAGGATGCTTTGTTGGGAAACTTTTGGTCTCTGGACAGTTAACCTAGACTAGCTGCTCATGGTGGTTTTCCATATGTACTTATGTATATTTCTCTGGTTTTGTGCCCCTTATAAGGATTTGTGACTTGGGAACCCTTAAGAATAAAGTGATCCACAGAGTATAGACCACCATAGGTATTGCTAGCTCTTAACAGGGCAGTTAGCGTGGCTGAAGGATGTGGTTCTTCTCTTACATTCTCTGTGCCTAGGACTTCCTCCATCAGGCAGCTGGCAGGACCTGAAAGATCACATGCGCGAAGCTGGGGATGTCTGTTATGCAGATGTACAAAAGGATGGAATGGGGATGGTTGAATATCTGAGAAAAGAAGACATGGAATACGCTCTGCGTAAACTGGATGACACAAAATTCCGCTCTCATGAGGTGGGTTCTTACTTTCTAGTGAGTCTGATTTAGCAATCGTAGCAGCAGGTCATGGCCTTTGCCATTGGATGACTTCCCAGTACCATTAAAGATCTATGTATAGGGGTTGGAGAGATGGCTCAGCTGTTCAGAGCACTGGCTGCTCTTCCAGCACCTACATGGCAGCTCACAACTGTCTGTAACTCCAGTTCCAGGATACCTGTATGACACCCTCATACAGACACACATGCAAGCAAAATACCAATACATATAAATACAAAAAAATTTTTTTTAAATAAAGGGAGTGTTTGCTATTCCTGAGTCCCACAAAGTCACAGCAGGGAGAAGTATGCATTTGTTTATCTTGATTTTCTTCCCTTTTGAAATGGGAGAGTAAGGGTACCTACCTCCAAATAACATTGTCAAAGTTGAATAACATTACAGCATCTTAGACAGCCAGGTTAGAGGTCGGCCTTGCTTACTATTCTGATTCTTTACTTTTCCCTTTTCTGTTTGTTCCAATTTCAGGGTGAAACTTCCTACATCCGAGTTTATCCTGAGAGAAGCACCAGCTATGGCTACTCACGGTCCCGGTCTGGGTCCAGGGGCCGTGATTCTCCGTACCAAAGCAGGGGCTCGCCACACTACTTCTCTCCTTTCAGGCCTTACTGAGGAAGGTGGTGGGAAGTTTCTCTATTTTTTTTTAGATGCGCTGAGCTGCTCTGTGCTCAGAATCTACATTCCAGATTGATAATTTAGCGTCTTAGGAAATTTTTTTAATTTCTCTTTCTTTTTTCTAAGGAAATACATAATTTCAGCCAGGGCCACCACACTAGCAGTGAACTGTTTTAGACTGCAGAGACAGAAGTTGTGGCTTTGGTACAGAGACAGGTTGTATGTTTTTCACCCCTGGTTATGGGACAGAAGTCAGTGCTGCATCTTTGTGGGTTGCTGTGCTCTGGAGGTCAGCAGTTACGACTGAGTCGCCCATTTTGTTGAGAAATATATTTTAAATGTTTAGTAGTTGGTGTGTGGTTGTCTTTGAGTAAGCACATGGATAGGTTTCATTTTAACTTTTTAAGATTGATTTTTATGTGCATGTGTATACCACACGTGTGTTAGTGCCCACCGAGGTCAGAAGGACAGTACAGACCCCTGGAACTGGAGTCACAGGAGGTTGTGGGCCCCTCTGAGTTGACATGGTGCTAGGAGCCTGACTCCCATCAGACAGGAGACTAGGCAGTGCTCTGTTTTGTTTTTGTTCTCAAGACAGGGTTTCTCTGTGTAGCCCTGGCTGTCCTGGATCTCACTCCGTAGACTAGACTAGCCTGAAACTCACAGAGATCCTCCTGCCTCTGCCTCCCGACTGCTGGGTTTAAAGACGTGCCACGGCACCAGTTTAGGAAGTTCTCTTAACCACTGAGCCATTTCTAACCAAGATTCAGAGTTCTTATAATTCAGAGCTGACATTGTAAATTAAACTGCCTGTAAGAGGAGTCCATAGAGATGATCTGTTCATGCCTCTAATCCCTGTATCTGGGAGGCTGTGGCAGGAAGATAGCTGTGCGTTCAAGGCCAGCCTGAGGTACAGAGGCCCTGTCTGAACAAACGAAACAGTGTGTGTGTGTGTGTGTATATGTGAGGGAACATTACAGATAAAGGGAAGAGGAAGAATGAAAACAAGCCCAGTGCTATTTTTAACAAGTTCTCTTTTCAGAAAGGAACTGTTGGCTGGTGTTCATAGACCCTGGGGGGGGGGAGGTGTTCAGATACTGTGTGTGGTGGGGGAGGGGTCAGGTGTTCACAGACACTGTGTGTGTGGGGGGGGAGGGGGAGGTGTTCATAGACACTGTGTGTAGGGGGGAGGGATGGATGAGGTGTTCACAGACACTGTGTGTGGGGGGAGGGATGAGGTGTTCACAGACACTGTGTGTGGGGGGAGGGGTGAGGTGTTCACAGACACTGTGTGTGTGGGGGGAGGGGTGAGGTGTTCACAGACACTGTGTGGGGGGAGGGGTGAGGTGTTCACAGACACTGTGTGTGTGTGGGCAGGAGGGAGGTGTTCATAGACACTGTGGGTAGGAGTCAGGTGTTCATAAATACTGTGTGTGTGGGGGGCGAGGGGTCAGGTGTTGATACTGTGTGGGGAGGGGTCGAGTATTCACAGAAGGGGTAACACTACCTTCTGAGAAAGGAAGATGGTCCTAAATTAGGAGTTCCCAGGCTGGAGTTTACTTCGGTGCTACGCAAACTTTTTCATAAAATGAACCCTCTGGTAGGAATAAAGTAGGTACTAGGAACAAATGAAGGTGGTTGGCTGCTCAGGTCAGTGGAAAAGTAACTAAAATAACGTGTCACCTGGTCACGGGCGAGCTCTCTAATCCCTGAGCATAAACAGAAGAACACACATAGATACGTTCTGATAGTGGTTTTAGGAGGGGATGCAGGAGGGTGTTTTCCACACAGAACAGCCTGTGAGTACTTGATCCCTTTCCTTTGAAGCAGGCTTGTGGTGATCTTTTAGCTGGGTGTTTTCTGCTTCTGTCCTCAGAACAGCTACCAAGAAGTCATAATGTCCGGTTTACACTAGAATTCACAGTAGTAAATGACCACCTTTGTGAGTCCATCATCTTGATAGGGTTCCCCTTTCCCAGAACAGCTACTCTGCTGTGGGAGAAGGGATCTTGTTTACCATGTCTGGCAAAGGAATATTACCTGTTTGAAAACAAGAAAGAGTATTATAGTTGAACCTGCTGTCCAGCTGGCCCTCCTAAACTCAAGGTCACTTGGTTTTCATGGAGAACAGTGGAAGTAGTTATTAATACCATCCTTTCCCCAACTCTCATGTATCAGCAACAGTTCAAAGTGAAGCCAAATCCACACTTTGCAGTGCATAGAGGAAGCTGTACATAACCACCACATATATGCAGGAAGGAATGGAAGACTAAGAATGGACCTCTGGGCCCAGAGTCCAAGTCTGCGCAGGCTTCTATCTCTGTGATATGGCCAGTAGATGACCTGACGAAGTAGCAACTACTGGGCTCTGAGATGGCAAGGTTATATATAATTCTTTTCTCTTTAGCTAACTGAGGCAAATATGGCTTTGTTAAGAGTTTAACCCACGGGCAGCAGTGGCACACACCTTTAATCCCAGCACTCAGGAGGCAGAGGCAGGTGGATCTCTGTGAGTTCGAGGCCAGCCTGGTCTACAAAGCAAGTTTCAGGACAGTCAGAGCTGTTATATAGAGAAACCCTGTCTCGGGAAAAAAAAAAAAAAAAAAGGAAAAAAAAGGTTTAACCCATAAGTTTGTTAGTGTAGTTAGCCCAAGCTTTATTTGTTAACTGCCTGGTCTTGGTGTCTCACGTGGAGGTTGAGGACTCATGCACAGGAGATAAAAGGTCCAGCTGCCCAAGCTTCCATTTTAAGTGTGTACAGTGAGGGTGGAAAAGTTGCTATATCAGGGATTACAAACCATGGCTAAGATACATATGCTTATAGGTATGTTTCAGCTGGCCTATGGGACACGTTAATTTTTCTTATTTGAATTGGTTGCCAATACAAGTGGAGGAAATAGCAGATGAAATGTCATACATTTAAGTTCTCCAAGCAGATGGGCTCGGGTTCCTCTGGCACCAGAAAAGCACCAGGGAATGGCAGCTGTTCCTGTAGACAGGGTTCCAGCCCAGGAGAGGTGCTGTCTGCTGCACACAACCTTGGTCCTTCATTACTGACTGGCCCCAGAGGGGAGTGTGGCTCCTGGACCACTGTTGTAACGCCATCACTGTGTACCGCTGATCCTTTTGTCTTCAGCGAGAATGTCGGAACTGTTCTGTTGAACTACCCTGGGTAACACATACCTGGCGGGGCCACAAAGTACTCCTCCACGACGTGACGGGAATTCTGTAGTAGTTCTTCAGTACAGTTGCCTTCTGCTACATGGTCAGATCTCAAGTAGAGACATCTGCAAAAGCCAAAGGTCGGAGTTCCACTTTGAGGGGACTGAGGCTTCCAGAGCACAGAGAGACAGGATCAACAAGGAGGCTAGAGGGGAGCAAAACAGTCGTCGCTGTGGCCACTGTCCCCAAGTAGGGGTGCTGTGGTAAAAGTAAACCAAAGAGCTGTCTGCAGTTTGTGGGTCCTGGGCACCGAGGTAAGCTGTGATTATTCCCTAGTTTGATTAGCAAACTTTTGGATAATTAGTATGAGTGGATTAATTTTGGTGAAGTAAGTGAAAGGGCAGCTATGAGACAACTGTATTAAATCTGGGCTGGAGAGAGGTCTCCGTGGTTAGGTGCACTGGCTACTCTTCCTACTCTTCCTGAGGACTCGGGTTTGGTTCCTAGCACTTACATGGTGACTCACAACGGCCTATGTAACTCCAGTTCCAGAGGATCTGATGCTTTCTTTAAGGGCACTGCACACACATACACAACATATTTTAAAGTGTCCCAGACCCTGCTTCAGTGAGAAGCATGTACTCAAGAATCATTGATGTCACTGGCCAAGGATAGACAAGAAATAACTGGATGGGGTATCGGGGGAAATGGACGTTTGACCAGATGTAGCATGAGTCCATGTAAGAGAACACAGCTAATCAGGGAGTGAATCAGCAAGGAGTTCAGCAGTACCCCTAAGACGAATGCAGCCACTTGGAGGGGTACACAGATGCCTGCCATTCGGCAAGATACACTCAACAGTGCCATTAGGTGTACATGCCAAGAACCCCTGCAATTAGGTAGTTGAAGGCTAGTGCCACCATTGGCATTGTCTCAAAGTAAGGTACATCATGAATCTCTATTGTTCTCTAGACATAGTGGCTTCTCTAAAATACATAGATTGCTTAGTGGGTTAAGGCACTTGCCACCTAGCTTAACAAGCTGGAGCCACATGGAAAGAGAATCAACTCCCATTCTTTGTCCTCTGCTCGGTGCGTCTCCGTACAGACAGACAGACACAATACTCAGGTGATGAGACACTGCTTTAATTCCAACGTTAAGGAGGCAGAGGCAGGTGTGAGTTCTTGAGTCCTAAGCCAGCTTACATATTAAGCTCGAGATCAGCCAGGGCTACACAGTAGGATTCTGTCTCAAAGAAAAAAACTGAAGTAAAATCTCTAGTGAAACTAAAATGGGAATACATTGACAGTGAATACATTGACAGTGAAACATGTCAGGCAGTTTCACTCTAATTTCAAAACATGCAAGTGCCTTACCAGAGTCAGCCTGCTTCTAGATACTCCTATTAAAAAGGACGGGGTCTAGCACCTTTAATCCCACTACCTGGGAGGCGGGGGAAGGTGGACCTCTGAGCTCAACGTCAGCCTGGTCTTCAGAGCATGCTCAGGACAGCCACCTGAGGAAGTCTGTCTCCAATAACAACAAAAGGAGCTGAAGTCACTAGCAAAGGGAGCTAACCCTAACAGAAGCACCTAACTCACAGCTAGATATTGTCATTCATGGTAAGAGGACAGGAAAGGGGGGAACGGGAGTGGTGTTGGAATTGGTTCTAGGGTCCACACTTGTCTGGTTGGTTTTGGTTTTTCCATACTATGTATGCCACGCTGGACTCAAAACTCTTCATCCCTCCTCCTCTGCCTCCTGAATTGAGTGTGCCACTATAATAACCCCACCTCCCCCCCACCCCAAAAAACTGAAAGTATGTTAACTGTGGCCTTGAAATGGAATAATCTTCCTAGACCATATTTTTTTTTTCAAAAAGTGAAGGTTGCACTCCCATGGTTTTTTTCTTTGTTTGAGACAGGGACTGACTCACCATGTAGTCCTGGCTAGCTGGAAGTCATGTAGCCCAGGTTGGCCTTGAACTCAGAGATCTGCCTGCCTCTGCCTCCCGAGTGCTGGGACTAAAGGCTGGAATTTGTTTTTTTAGCCAAAAAACAAAACAAAACAAAAATTGGGGGCTGGAGCTGTTGGTTAGTGGTACAGTGATTGCTTCATATGTGTGAGGGCCCAAATTCAATATCTAGCACAGAAGGTAGAAAAAAAATTGTCATTGTACCATTCAAAGGCAGCCACTGGTCTTCCTGGACTTAGGATTCTTTGGAGAATGCTGAGAACACAGGAGATCTTAAGTCCCAGCACCGCAAAACTCATCTCTCTTAGCTTCATTCATTTACAGAAGTGCGGAAGAAGGCTTCATAAAATTGCTGGTAACATCTAATGTAATTTAAAGATTTAGTTTTATTATGTGCTTGTGTGGGTATGTGCACACGAGTACAGGTGCCCATGAAAACAAGAGGCATAGGATCCCCTGGAGTTCAGCTGCCTGGCTTGGGGTGCTACGAACTGAACTCAGTCCTCTGCATGAACAGCTACCACTCTTCACCGCTCAGCCGTCTCTCCAGCCCCCAAATGTATGGTGTTTTTTGTTTGTAAACAAAGGACTCCTGGTGATGGTGGCAACAGTGACAGCGCACACCTTTAATCTCAGCACCTGAGTTCAAGGCCAGCCCGGCCTGCAGAGGGAGTTCCAGGACGGTCAGGGCTACACAGAGACTGTGTCTCAAAAAACCAAAAAGAAGAAAAAGAAAACCAGCGTCGGGTGGGGTCGGGCAGTGAAATGGCTCAAGTAAAAGTGCTGTTTGGGAGCCGTGCAGTGGACCATGCCTTTAGTCCCAGCAGGAGGCAGAGCCAGGCGTTTGAGGCCAGCCTGGTCTACAGAGTGAGATCCAGGACAGGCACCAAAACTACACAGAGAAACCATGTCTCGAAAAACAAAACAAAAAAAAAAGTGCTGTTTGACCCCTTGGACCCAAGTGAACAAGACCCAACTCCCTCCACATGTGTGCTATGTCATTCTCATACCCCTCCCCAATAAACGCAATAAAAAAGATTTAAAAAACATCAGCAGGTAGCAATAAATACCTAAATGAAGTTAAGGTAGGTTAAGTATCACAAGCTGAAGCCAGACCAGGCTACTGCTGCTTGACAGTTTCCCAGGAAGACTGACAAACGCCTCATCACAACGACAGACCAAAGTCTAGCTTGGGGAAGCAATTGGTTTAACCAGGGTTACTTGCAGGAGCACAGACAACTTAGAGGCAGTTATAACACTGAAGAAAAATACCGCTCCTAGCAACTGTTAACTGGTGGTAAATCTGGGGGAGGGGCAGGACCTCATGAACTCTTCCTCCCTCCATAAACAAAGTCAAGGAGCCCAACTTGGGCTGGTTTCCTTTGGATAATTCCACCTGCTGACAGCTCAAGAGGTCAGCAGCATGTCACGCTGGAAGACCATGTCTACAACAAATGCATAGCAAGGTCCTGATGTTTGTTTTTTTGAGACAGTGTTTCTCTGTGTAGCTGAGTGCTCACTGCCTGGTACAAGATCCTGTTTTAAAAAAGCAAAATGCAAGCCAGGAGATGGTGGCACACACCTTTGATCCCAGCACTCAGAAGGCAGAGGCAGGCAGATCTCTGTGAATTTGAGGCCAGCCTGGTCTACACAGAGAAACCCCCTCTCGGGGGTGGGGTGGGGGTAGGGATCTGACATGACCAGTGTTCTTGCAGCAACTCTAGAATCTTAAACGCTGAACAGGCCTGGATGACTTTGAGATGAGTTTTTTGTTTTGATTGTGGTAGTTAGTGGTGAGGAGTCAACCAAGGACCTCATGCTTATTGGCTTTTGAGGCATTATTTGTTTAGAAGATTTTTAAAGGTTATTTTTAATTATGTGAATGTGAGTGCCAGTGCCCTCGGAGGCCCTGGAGCTGGACTTATATGTAGATGTAAGCCACCTACCATGGGTGTTGGGGCTCAGCTTAGGGGTCCTTCGCAAGAGCAGCAGCGGAGATTCTTAACTGCTAAGCCAACACTCAGACCCTATTTATCTGTTTTTTTAGAAATGGGGTCTCCTTCAATAGCCTAGGCTGAACTCAAACTTGGGTCAGTCCTGCCCAAGCATCCCAAGTCCTACAGTTATGTGTGTGAGCCACCATGGCCAGTCTAGACCAACTATTTACTAAGTGTCTACCTCACCTGTCTTCCTGCACAGGGATTCTACAAGATGAGTTAGTTTTAATGCTCCAAGACATCCATTTCCATAACGGGTGTCTTTCCTCAGCATCGAGGCCAGTGGTTCTTAACCTGTGGGTCATGATCCCTTCAGAGGATGCGTATCAGACATTTATGTTATGATTCATAACAGTAGCAAAATTACAGTTATGAAGTAGCAATGAAAATAATTTTATGGTTGGAGGTCACCACACGAGGAACTGTATTAAAGGGTCGAAACGTTAGGAAGGTTGAGAACCGCTGAGCTAGGCTAACATAAGCCATGTAGTTTCCTCTGAGGACTCAAAACTGATTCTTTCTGGGTCCTGGTTCAGATGAAGAATCCTGGCTAAAAAGGGATGGGTTTGTGAACTCTATGTTGCCACCAAGGAAAGCGCAGATAAGTCCTTTACCCCAGTACCAGAGGAAGTGCTTGGCAGCAGGAGGGGGGAGGGACTTTGTGTGTGCTGCTGGGTCTTGAACTATGGAGCATTTGGGCCACTGTTTTCTTCTGCGTCCCCCTGTTCACTCTGGCACTCAGGCTTATGGGTGCCAAGTCCTGGCTCTTCTTGTGAAATTCTGAACCCGCTTCTTCTATGCATGGAATTGGAATTCTTCTTTGCCTTCCAGAGTCAAATATGATAACTGAGGTACTGCATACAAATTCCTAGTCCACAGAACAGGCACACTAAGGCTCAACCCCAATAATACATTGTTAACGTGTAGACAGACTTCTATTCTGTTACAGCTATTACTGGCTACTGCTTTAAACAGCTGAAAAACTACTAGGGTGTTTCGAGTGCAGATCAGCATTTAAAACCCTGGAGTCAGGGGCTGGAGAGATGAAGAGCACTTTCTGCTCTTACAGAGGGCCTGGGTCTGGTTGCTTGTACCCAGAGGGGGGTTCACAACTGCCTATAACTCCAGGTCCAGGGATCTTGCAGGTACCGCTCTCTTCTGACCTCTGTGGATTCCTGCACACATATGCATAGACTCAAGCACATACACATAAGAACACATTCAAGTCTGGTCTGGGGTGCTGGGATTTGAGGCCTCGTTTTTGAAGTCCTACAAATTTCATATTAAAATGGCTAGTGGGCAGCACTCGGGAGGCAGAAGCAAGGGGATCTCTGTGAGTTCGAGGCCAGCCTGGTCTACAGAGCGAGATCCAGGACAGGCACCAAAACTACACAGAAAAACCCTGTCTCGAAAAACAAAAAAAACAAAATAAAACAAAAAAATGAAAGAACATGACAGTGCGGGATTGGAGAAATGGGCAAGGGCTATGACAGACAGATGATGCCCTGCAGGCCATGAGGAAACCTCCTTGGCTTCATTAGAAGTGGTGGCACATCTCCTGAAGCACTGGGTCAGGAAAATGACATCGGGTTTCCCTTGTGAAGTGCTGGGTAACATAGGCAAATGGTGTAAACCTCTTTGGACCTGAGCATCAGGCAAAGGCTGAAAGGAATCAAAGGCTGGAAGGTGAGAAGACCAGGAAACTAACAAGATTCAAATTGCCGAAGCACTTCACATAAAGGACCTGGTTACAGACTTGACTCTCTGTTGTCACTAAGGAGACTAGAAAGATGGCTCAGTGGTTAGCACTGGTCGCTCTTTCAGGGAACCCAGGTTTGATTCCCAACACCTACATCATGGCCTACAATCACCTGTAAATATAGTTCCAGGGGATCCCACACCTTTTTCTGCACCAGACACGTGGCATACAGACATACAAGCAGCCCAAACATCCACACACAAATTAATAATTAAAAAAAAAATCACCTTCAAGCCAAGGTACCTCACACCTATAATTCCGGCATTTGAGAAACTGGGCAAAGACTGGCACACGTTTGAGGCCAGCCTGGGATACATAAGCATGGTGGTTGCTCAACAACCTATAATCCCAGCACTTGGAAGGTGGAGGTCTGAGGAGGACCAGTAATTAAAGGTCATCCTTAGCTTGCCTAGTCTACATGAGACCCTGCCTCAAAAGAAGTAAATAAAAATAATGAAACAAATGCTGGGTGTGGTGATACAGGCCTATAAATACTAAGGAAACAGCTAGATAATCTTGGGTTCAAAGCTAGCCTGCGCTGTATAGCCAGATTCGGTTTCAAAAATAGATGAAACATGGCTTATATGTTATTTGGATATGCCATATTAGCATATAAACTTACTTGAGAAGGTCTCCAAAATATATAATAGTATTTGCTTCTTTCAGATAGTTAATCTGATGCAGGGAATGAGCGTGGCTTGCTGAGAAACTTACGGAAGCCAGTACCGGCTGGAGGGTCCAGAGGGACCGGTACATCCGAGTGGATGAGCAGGGGATCGATGAAGTAGGGCTTCCAAGGCGATGACTACAAGCAGCTCGGATTTTGTTCCTATTACACCGAGACTAGGAAGGCTAGCGGCTTCTAAACGGGAGTAACAGGATCTATAATGAACTAGGGAAGAGTGAAGACATCTTCTCGGTGACTGGGCAAATTCCCAGTCACGCAAAGGACACTGAAAGGACCTGAAGCAGCCTCGAAGGTGCCCTGGTCGAGACCTCGAGGCGGCAACCGGGAGTTTACCTGTCCTCCAGTACCGACTCCAGGGGCTCCACGCCGTCGGTGTCCACGGCGTGCAGCTGATCGGCGAAGGCGATGGCTTTCTCCAGCCGGGCCACCGCCTCGCGGCTGCCGAAGTTCACCAGCGCCAGGCGCTCCAGATGTTCGATTTTCGCGGCGGGCACGGGGCCGCCGCCCTGCGGGGCGAGGCGTGGAGTGTGGGTCCCCGGCCCCGCAGCCTGGACCTTTCCCTGTGGGTCCGCTTTGGAAGCGAAGCCTCGGCCCCGGGGCAGGGCAGCCGGGAAAACGTCCCCGCACCGCCCGTGCCCACATTTCTTTGCTTCTCCGCCTCCGTAGTGCGAAAGGCGGGGCGACGCGCGCGATGCTGACGACATTAGAGGGCGCCGTGGTCGCCGCCGCAGCCGCCGCCATCGCCATGAACAGCGTCGGGGAGGCTTGCACTGACATGAAGCGGGAGTACGATCAGTGCTTCAACCGCTGGTTTGCCGAGAAGTTCCTCAAAGGGGACGGCTCCGGGGACCCTTGCACCGACCTCTTCAAACGCTACCAACAGTGTGTCCAGGTGAGCCTCGGCCCAGCCCCGCCGCAGACGCTGCTGCAGCCAGCCCTCTTCTCCGCCATCCCACGAAATTGGGTGTCTCTCCTTGACACACGGGGATGCTTTTGTGGTGCCTTGCTTTCTGCGGAGTACAGTAGCATCTTCTGGTTCATTTATGTGGTGCTCATTCTAAACTTGCAAAGTAGCCGTAGTTATCCATATCTGAAAAAACTGCGTGTCGGGTTGGGGATTTAGCTCAGTGGTAGAGCGTTTGCCTAGCAAGCGCAAGGCCCTGGGTTTGATCCTCAACTCCCCCCCCCCCAAAAAAAAAACCAAAAAACAAACAAAAAAAAACCCAAAAAACTGCTTGCGTGCGTGTGTGTGTGTGTGTGTGTGTGTGTGTGTGTGTGTGTGTGTTCGCGTGCGCGATGAGAGTAGGGACAACTTCCTGGAATCGGTTTTCTCCTTCCACGTTTATGTGGGCTCCTGATTGCGTTCTGTTATCTGTATCTTACAGATGGAAAACTAGCACTCAGAAGTAGTGATTGGTTCAAATGCATTAGCGTCTGGTGACTGTGATTAATTTGTTGGTGGTGCGTTTCATTGTTATTAGGAGTGGATGGTGTTTACTGTTTTCTAGACTGTGGACATCGCGGTGGTCCTCATTGTTTTGTTATGATCTCTTTTTTTGCCCTGTTTTTCCCCATCAATTCCCAGTTGCAGCTAGTAAAGTTTGATTCCAGCCCAGCAGATGCACTTCCACTAACTTAATCTAAAACACCGGCTCCATTCCAGGAGCGATTTTTAGCCAATTCTCAGACAGTGAAGGTGACTCAGTCACATAGCTGCTGGTACTGGAATAGATTTGAACACTGACACTAAGACAAAGTAGTGGTACCTCCTGCCTCTGCCTCCCAAGAACTGGTGTGCATACCACACAGGAGTTACTATCTTTACAGTGGTACTTCCTTGTTAAAACAATGCTGGGTGTGGTGGTACACACCTTTAACCAGGAGTCAGAGGCAGGCTGGTATGTGTGAGTCCCAGGCTAGCCAGGACTACATAGTGATACCATGTCTCAAAGGGTGTCCCTTAAAATGTGGTTCACTTTGGTTTACTTCTGTGCCATTACACTGCAGGTATAAAACACTGACTTGAAGCTTCCATAGACTTTTTTTTTCCTCCTGTTTTTCGAGACAGGGTTTCTCTGTGTAGCCCTGGCTGTCCTAGAACTCACTCTGTAGACCAGGCTGGTCTTGAACTCAGAGATCCACCTGGCTCTGCCTCTCAGTGCTAGGATTAAAGGCGTGGGCCACCACCGCTCAGCTACTTCCATAGACTTTGATAATACATTTTCTTCTTTCAGAAAGCAATAAAGGAGAAAGAGATTCCTATAGAAGGACTGGAGTTCATGGGCCATGGCAAAGAAAAGCCTGAAAGCTCCTCTTGACCTGCTTGTCACTTGGAAGATGTCGGTACATTGAGAGGCCTCTGGATTGTGTCAGCTAGTCTGTGAAGCTAGCCATGGGATTCCAGGCGTTTAAGAGGGGAGTTTTATTTCTTCCTTCTTGGTATTCTCCTCTCACTTCTAAAAGAGCAGCTGTCCCTCTTGCTTTGAGAGTTTCACTTTTGCTGGCATCTTGCAGGGACTCCATGTGCTACAATGGAACAGCTTCTTGGGGTTTTGGTTATAATACATGGTTTGGAATCAGCTTTAACTAGTCCTTGGATGTAAGTAATGATAAACTGGTCATAATCAAGGTTGCCTGACAGCTTTTGCTGCAGAGGACACTACACGGGAGTCATTATTCATGAACACAGTTGGTCAGGACCTCTTTTTCCTCTCAGGGAGCTAATGCTCTGAAAAGGGATCCGGACACAACAGTTTCAATCACTGCTTGGGAACATGATTGTATTTTTATAGTAACGGTTATAACTGCTGACGGCCTGAGTTAACAAAGTAGAAGACAGCTTTACTCAGCTCCTGCCTTAAGGAGGTGTCGGATTAACTTGTGAAAGCTTCAGAAATGGAAATGGCATAAACATCACGTTGGAGCTCACAGCGCCGCTCATAGCTCCAACACCTGGAGTGGCTGTGGAAGAATCACCTACATTACAGCTTTGCTGTTGCCAACTTTCAACTCCGTGAATTAAGGTCAATCTGCATATAAAAGGCAAAATGCATCTGGCCAGGTGGGAGAAAGGTGCTTACTTATTTTTGTTTGCCTACCACACCCTAAGTCTGTAATCATGAAAATGGAATAAATTCTAAAATTCAGATTCTACTCTTTGCCCCTGGAACTGTGCACGTTATAGAACACTTATTCCCCCGTTGCCCCATTATCTCATTGTGCTGCAGAGCGCGAGCTTTGCTTTGTAACTTGATTTGTTTAAGCCTAGGTGGCTGATGCAACACGTAGGTCAGCAGTTTGACGTTCAGGCTGGCCTCCTGCCTCTACCTTCAGCTTGCTGGGATTACACATAGGCACTAATAATACCCAGCTTATATAAATAGCTTCTTTAAATTAGTACGTATTGTGGTTCCAACACAATGTCATGTAGCCCTCACACCTCCCTAAATTTAGAATTTAGTATATCCCTAAAGACAGAATGAAAGCTGATATACAGAAGGCCTACACTCTATTTTCTGTGTTACTAATTACTTCATTTTAATTTGACCAACCCTAATGCCATTTCAAAACATTTTACATTTTTAGGAAAATATAGATGTAAAAAAAATTCTTATTTTTCAACTGGTTAAGCCATTGTCCAAAAGATCACAAGAGATTTTTGAGACCTCTATGAGGGAAGCCAGGAGGCTAAAGGTTAGTGCACGTATTCTAAACTCAAACTGGCACAACTCTGTGTAAGGAAGGGCTCAGTATAGCCAGTAGATGGCAGAGAACAGAACAGATTTTTTTTTTTTTGGCAGTCTCCCAGGCTGGCCTCAAACTTAATAATCCTTCCTCTACCTCTTGAATGTTGGGATTTCAAGTACATTCCACCACATCCAGACTTAAAAACTTTTTAAAACAATTATTTTATGTGCATTGCTGTTTTGCTTGTGTGTATGTCTGTGTGAGGGTGTCAGATCCCCTGGAACTGGAGTTACTGACAGTTGTGAGCTGCTGTGTGGGTGCTGGGAATTGAATCTGGGTCCTCTGGAAGAACTGCCAGCGCTCTTAACCTCTGAGCCATCCACCTCTCCAGCCCTGATTTTCCTGTATTTTTATTGCATTTTGTGTGTGCATGGATACAATCAGTTTTCTCTGGGTCCTGGGAATCCAACTCAGGCTTCTATCTTGGTAAGTGCCTTTACCAGCTGAGCCATTTTTTTCCTTTTTTTTTTTTTTTTTTTAAAAAGATATAGTCCTTGAATTCAATGGATAGTTGAGCATGACCTTGAACTCCTGATCCTCCTGCCTCTATCTCCCATATACTGGGATTTAGTTAAGATCACACTTGATTTATGTACTGTTGAGGTTAAACCCAAGATTTCATACATTCAAGTATATATCAATTGAGCTACATCCCCAGACCATTTTTTCCTTCCTATTTTTATTTATTTATTGTGTATGAATATTTTGTTCACATGCATGTATGTGCCTGTTGGACCCCCTGGAACTGGAGTTATAGATGGTTTTGAACTATTATGCAAGAAGAACAAGCACTCTTAATTGACCACTGAGCCATCTATCTCTATAAGATTTCATGTAGCCCAGGCTGGCCTCAAACTTGCCATGTAGATGAAGAACTCTTGATCCTCCTACCTCCACCTCCCAAGTATAGGGATTACAGGTGTGTTCCTCGGGTGTGTACTATCATATTGGGTTACTTTTCTATTGCTGTGAAGAGATATGGAACTCATAGTTCCAGAGAGTTTTTGTTGTTTTGAAGATTTATTTAATATGCATGCCAGAAAAGGGCACCAGATCTCATTATAGATGGTTGTGAGCCACCATGCGGTTGCTGGGAATTGAACTCAGGACCTCTGGAAGAACAGTCAATGCTCTTAACCTCTGAGTCATCTCTCCAGCTCTAGTTCCAGAGACTTTAAGTCTATGATCATCGTGTCAGGAAGCATAGCAGCAGACAGGCAGGCATGAAGCTGGAGTAGAAGCTGAGAACTCATCCTGATCCACAGGCACAAGGCAGAAAGCTAACTGGGAATGGTGTGAGTTTTTGAAACCTCAGAGCCTGCCCGCCCCCAGTGACACACCTCCTCCAACAAGACCATGCCCCCTAATCCTTCCCAAACAGTTCAACCAACTGGGGACACCAAGAATTTAGACATGAATCGATGGGGCCATTCTCATTCAAACAACCACACTGGGGCAGTCCTTTTTGATAAATGATTCATATGGGCAATTCAGCATTTGTGTATATGGATGCAGGCCAACATTAGCAGTCAGTCCCCTCCTTCCAATGTGTAGGTCTTGGGTATGGGACTCAGTCATCAGACTTGGCAGCAAGACCTCTACCTGCCAAATCATCTCACTAGTTTCCGCCCCCCCCCTCTTAAGACAAGTCTTAGACTGTAGCTTAGGCTAGCTTTGAACTATGGCAGTCCTCTGGCATCAGACTCCTCTTCCCAAAGTTCTAGAGGCTATAAGTATGTACCACCATGGCCTTTCAGAGTCTTTGTTGTTGTTTCGAGGTGGTGGTGACGGTGATCATTTTTGGCTTAGGTAAGAAAAACATTCAAATTAACTTTCAGAATAGATTTAAGAATCCTTGAAATAGGGGCTGGAGAGATGGCTCAGAGGTTAAGAGC